TTTTTTTTTTTTACCGTAACTCGTGTCAGGAGCTGTACATAACCCGCAAATAATTTTTCCAAATTTCTAGCTGTTCAGGCTGCAGCACGATAATTATTAAAGGGCGATAATAGTATTTTAAAAGTATGCAGCAGATGTTTTGAAAGCTTTATTTTACACGTCAACACTACATCTGTATGTATGTTTGGCAGATAAATTACTAATGTTCTTCAGGGAGAAACAAACAGACGACTGTGCTCAGGGAGATTTGAGGTTTATACTCTAAATCTGTCAAAGAATGCTGCTTAATGTGGGCTGGGGGATATTCTAGATCTTTCACCACTGTAGCAAAAAATGAAGCCCGACTAATGGATGACCGACACACCAGAAGGTTGAAGCCAAAAAAACAAAAACAAAGAGTGGCTGCTATTAGACTAGACCCAGATCAATTGACTTCATGGTTGTTTGTGAGTGCGTAGGTGGGATTTTCCCACATCCTCATTAAAATGGATTGAGCATGAAAAGATTTACAAAGAAAAATGTCTGAAAATCCCCGCCGTCCTAGTGAACAGACTTGCGTCTGTCATAATTCTGGGGTTTTTGTGTTTGTTTGCATCAATGCAGTCCTAAGTAAAGGATCTGAACACTTCTACTAATGTACTGCAACATAAAAAGTCAAACAAAAAGTTGTCGAACTTACTGAACCCACCATTGGCAGAGTCATTTACAGTCGATGAGGCCAGCTGCTTTAGTTTTGGTTCATTTTCAGGACCAGGAACTGGCTTATTCTGTAATGTCAACTCAAACAGAAAATTTGTACCCAAGTAGGCCTGTTGCGATAAACGATAAAGCAATTAATCGTATGATAAATTAAAGTTATCGACCTAATTTTCGTTTATCGGCTTTATCGTTTCTTTGCGTCTCTCACTTTCTACTGAAGACACTGGATGACAAAAGGCTCAACTCCCGTGCTCTTCACTGAAACCTCCCTTTCTCATTTCTCTTTAAAATTTGTTTTAACTGTCTAAAATCAAGTATTTGGATCGTTAAAAGCAGCTAAGCTGAGAAGCTAAGCTACGAGCTAAGCTAACAGGCCGACCTCAGGGGGAAAAAAACCTCCGTCTGGTCAAAGCTTCAAAATTAGCGGTTGAAACCCGTGCCTTTGTCTAAAAAGTTTTTCTCTGCCAAAAGAAGCTGAGAACTTGTTTACTGATTTTTTTTTATTTTTATTAAAAGCTTTATGTGACAAATGCTATGCCAACGAGCTGAAACCACACTGAGCATCCACCATTTTGAGAACCGAAAAACAGGAAGGAGAGACAGGCCATGTCACGTCAATTGGCCTCCCTCCCATTTATCTTAGAGACACGCTGTTCGCTCACTCACTATCCATCTTTTGGTTCAAATAGTCTTATACTGCCATTCAGTGGTCAACGAAAGGTACTACACACAAAAATGAACCAACATTTCTTCTTAAATTTGTCAATAATTAGTAATTATTGTCAAATTTCAAACAATATTATTGTTTATCGCAATATTTTCTGAGACAGTCGCCTGGGAAAATTTGTTATCATGACAGACCTATACCCAAGTGATAATTGAAACTTGAATTAAACACCCTCCAGAGTTCATGCTCAATAATCCAGGTATAAAATCCATCAATGTTCAGTCAGGTCATCTTGGATGGCTTTTAAAAAGAAACCGCCCAGGTGACCTGACTGGACATTGTTGGATTTTATACCTGGATCATTGAGCATGAACTTTGGTGTTTTGAACCACTTTGGCATGACTGTCTCAGAGGAGTTGACAGGGAAGAGGGTGGGTCCCAGAGGCCATTTTAGTACCAGCAAACTGTTTTTTTCCACTATGGAGTAAGCTGTTGTTGTGGGAATCAGTTTGGTTTGGTGGCTCCACAGATCGAAGAAGTTCTTTGGATGAAGGATGAAACATCTCGGCTTAAAAAAAAACAAAAAAAACGTCCAGACGATCTGACAACATTGATGAATTGAAACATTCATTATTTTCTCGCTCTTTCTGTGCAGTCCTGCCCAAACAAAATGGAAGGGTTGCCATAGTGACTGGTGGGACCAGAGGAATGGGCTATGAGACGGCAAAACATCTAACAAGCCTTGGCATGCATGTGATCATAGGTAGGCTTCTTTTCAGACTGTACTTTAATTATTTTTATATATATTGTAGTATTAGTATTTATTATTTAATTTTATAGTGTAGTATTATAGCAGGGTTTTTTGCTAACTTTTCTATTGACTAAATGTAGCGACTTCGATCCACAAAATAAAGTCGCTGCCGGCTGAGTATTGCTCTGTGACGCATCTCCAATGATCCATGCTGAGCAGTGGTGGGATGTAACGAAGTACAAGTACTTCATTACTGTACTTAAGTACATTTTTTATGTATCTGTACTTTACTTAAGTAGAGTTAAACATGGGTACTTTCGACTTTTACTCCACTACATGTTACATCAAGTATATGTACTTTCTACTACACTACATTTCTATAATGCGTTGCGTTACAAGTTACATTTATGTTGCACTTTTTTTTTTATTTGTTCGTTAGTTTGGAAGTAACCAATAGCGAGAGCGGAGTTGGTCCATTGAATCACTGCAAAGTGAGCAAGTAACGTTAGACCTGCCTTCAAGAAGAGCTGGGCCAATGACGTATATTCATCTAGTACAAACCGGATTCCAAAAAAGTTGGGACACTAAACAAATTGTGAATAAAAACTGAACGCAATGATGTGGAGATGGCAAATGTCAATATTTTATTCGTAATATAACATAGATGACAGATCAAAAGTTTAATCTGAGTAAATGTATCATTTTAAAGGAAAAATATGTTGATTCAAAATTTCACAGTGTCAACAAATCCCCAAACAGTTGGGACAAGTAGCAATAAGTGGCTGGAAAAAGGAAATTGAGCATATAACGAACAGCTGGAAGACCAATTAACACTAATTAGGTCAATTGACAACATGATTGGGTATAAAAAGAGCTTCTCAGAGTGTCAGTGTCTCTCAGAAGCCAAGATAGTAAGAGGATCACCAATTCCACCATTGTTGCGCAGAAAGATAGTGCAGCAATACCAGAATGGTGTTACCCAGCGTAAAATAGCAAAGACTTTTAATTATCATCATCAACCGTGCATAACATCATCAAAAGATTCAGAGAATCTGGAACAATCGCTGTGCGTAAGGGTCAAGGCCGTAAAACTCTATTGGATGCTCGTGATCTCCGGGCCCTTAAACGTCACTGCACCTCAAACAGGAATGCCACTGTCAAGGAAATAACAGAATGGGCTCATGAATACTTCCAGAAAGCATTGTCAGTGAACACAATCCACCGTGCCATCTGCCGTTGCCAGCTGAAACTCTACAGTGCAAAGAGGAAGTCATTTCTAAGCAAGCTCCACAAGCTCAGACGTTTGCACTGGGCCAGGGGCCATTTAAAATGGAGTGTGGCAAAATGGAAGACTGTTCTGTGGTCAGATGAGTCACGATTTGAAGTTCTTTATGGAACACTGGGACGCAATGTCATCCGGACCAGAGAGGACAAGGATAGCCCAAGTTGTTATCAACGTTCCGTTCAGAAGCCTGCATCACTGATGGTATGGGGTTGCATGAGCGCTTGTGGCATGGGCAGCTTGCATGTCTGGAAAGGCACCATTAATGCAGAGAACTATGTTCAGGTTCTAGAACAACATATGCTCCCATCTAGACGTCATCTCTTTCAGGGAAGACCCTGCATTTTTCAACACGATAATGCCAGACCACATTCTGCAGCAATCACAACATCATGGCTACGTAGGAGAAGGATCCGGGTACTGAAATGGCCAGCCTGCAGTCCAGATCTTTCACCTATAGAGCACATTTGGCGCATCATAAAGAGGAAGGTGCGACAAAGAAGGCCCAAGACGATTGAACAGTTATGTGACCACGCCCCTCACACCTGTGCCACCATAAACAACACAACACTTAAGTCATTTTGGCTCTTACATTTGTGTTCTAACAAGATCTTGTGAAAATTGTCACAGGAGAATGTTGTGAACGACTTTCAACAAAATAAAAATCTAGCTCAATATCTGTAAATTTAAGTGAGAGCCATTTTTGGGTTTTTTACAGTTTGTTAGCTGTGGCAGTCATTTTTAATTGAATTGACTTCAAAAGGTTATCGATTGTAGATGTACACCCACTGATTACTTCCCACGCAGTGGTTCATGAGATATTTTGCTCACAGACAGTCCGACACATGGACCTTGACATGACCCAAACAAAAAAAGTCCATGCTCAATAATCCAGGTATACAATCTAACAATTTTCAGTCAGTTCATCTGGACAGTTTCTTTTTTCTTTTCTGAAACGTTTCACCTTCACAGTCCAGATGACCTGACTGAAAATTGTTGGATTGTTTTCCTGGATTATTGAGCATGGACTTTTTTTGGTTTTGAACCAGTTTGACAGTTTGGCAGTCTTCCAGTCACAAGCCCACCTTCTCTAACCTCTGCGCCATCACTCCCCACCCATTGTGGGTACACAATAAAATTGTACATAAGAGTTTATACAAAGTTTTTAAACTTGAATGGTATTTAGTTTTAGGGTGTAGATGAATGTCCTGAGTGAGTGAAGGCAGCAGAGTTTAGTTCGAGTGGATTACCAGCTGAACGTCGCTGTGCCTCTCTGTCATCTCCATCATCTCCAGCTGGGAACGAAAGAGAAGAAGGTTCTGCAGCCGTCAGGAGGATAAATGAAGAGTGCAGCGAAGGAAAAGGTAATTGTATTTGTCTCTGTTTTTCACCACAGCCAAGGTTGAACCAGGAGCTTTCATTTAATAATTTGGGATCAATTATGCACAGCAGTGAAGATTACAAGTTAAAATCAATTGCTTCAGTTTTTAAAACTCATTAGAGAATAGAAATCTACAGAAACCTGTGTTTAGTACAGACATAAGCAATCTTGTTGCCTTAATCTGGAGTGGCAGAGAAGCGTGTTAGACTGGTACAGGACATGTATGAGGACAGCAGGACAGTGGTGAGATGTGCTGTAGGAGTGACATAGCTTCAAGGTGGACGTGGGAGTGCATCAAGGATCGGCTCTGAGCCCCTTCTTGTTTGCTCTGGTGATGGACCGACTAACAGATGAAGTCAGGCAGGAATCCCCGTGGACTGTGATGTTTGCAGATGACATTGTGATTTGTGGTGAGAACAGGGAACAGGTGGAAGAGAACTTGGAGAAGTGGAGGTATGCACTTGAAAGAAGAGGAATGAAAGTCAGCCGTAGTAAGACAGAGTACATGTGTGTGAATGAGAGGGAGGCCGGTGGAACGGTGAGGCTACAAGGAGCAGAGGTCACAAAGGTGCAGGACTTCAAGTACTGTATTTTTCATCCGATAAGTCACATATTTTTGCATAATTTACATGCCCTGCGACTTATAGGCCGAAGCGACATATTTATGGATTTTTTGCCCAGATTTATAAACCAATTTTTGGCTGAGATATGACTGTTTTCATTCATTCTGACTGGAAAAAAAAAGGAGCAGTTTCATCCACTTGATGGCAGCAGAGTAGTAGTAGCAGTATGGCATGCCGTTGTATCATGTAATGGGTAAACATGGCAATAATGACAAATTGGAAAAAGTTCAAGACAAAAACAACTGGACTTTATTTATTATACTTTATACTTTATTATTTTTTTCTTCAGCTTTTTTGAATTGACCATATCCTGGATGACTGAGAATCTTCACCAGCTATTAATGACTCAATTGGCTTGCCTAAGTGGCCCCACCTTCGTTCCGCTCATTGCTTGGAACCGTCAAATGTCGCTGCACCGCCCCGGCGAAATGCAGCTAATTTGACCATTAAAGTGCATTTATTAAGTAAAAGTTAGACTGAGTCACATCTTTGCTATTTTTAAGTGTTAATCTTGTTAAATTCTTGTTAAAGTCCTCCCGTGCACGCTCCCGCAGTCGCCATTTGGCAGGCCATCGATTTTTGGCACAACACCGGCCCACGTTTCTGGGTTGTCAGCGGTGATGCGTAACAAACGCAACGCGTCAGCGGTGACGCATAATACATGCAACTTATACGGCGAAGCGGCATATTTATGGATTTTTCCACTTTATTAGTGTTAAGATATTTCTTATCTAGACTGGTCCTATGGTTTTGATCTGCTCAGAGACGGGATTATAATGAAATTGTGGCCCGGTTCTGACTGGGTTCAACTGGGCCAGCCACTCTAAAAAGAGTCGCCCTGGGATTCAATATCTGTCAAGGAATAGTTTAATCTGCTTGCCACATCACGCAGAAAGGCTTTTGGAGCACCGTCTCATATTTCCGAACACGTCATAACCACATAAGATCCACTGAGATCACACTTAGTCACGCCCCCTCATACACTGACAGGTTGAGATCCCCTTCTGCGAAGGCGGAGTCTTAGGACCCTATAAATTAGTAATGACACGGGACATAGGGGCTCTTTCGGGTCTTGTGAACGCGTCACAGACCGGAGAGTCCAGCGCTGTAAAACTGTAACCTTTTCCTGCCTTGATTTTAATACAATTGGTAAAACTTAATTGATGTCTCCTTGATTTATTGATAATGAGAGTTGCCTGTTCTGAGGGAGATTCGAGCCGGGGGAAGCGGTGGGGGTTGGCTGGGGGTCCAGGGTCAGAGAGGAAGCCTAAAGCCCACGGCTAGCCGTAGCTAGCTGCAGTGACTGACGACCCGCAGTCAGCTCCAAACGCAACATTAGACAAATATGGACTGGTGCGACTTGTAGGGCGGAGCGACGTGTCCGCCGGAAAATACAGTACTTGGGATCCACTGTCCAGGAAGATGGGGAGTGTGTTAACGAGATGAAAAAGAGAGTCCAGGCAGGATGGAGTGTATGGCGAAAACTTTCAGGAGTGATTTGTGACAAAAGGGTGTCAGCAAAGGTCAAAGGAAAAATTTACAAGACAGTGATGAGACCAACTATGTTGTATGGTCTGGAGACAGTGGTATTGACAAAAAGACAGGAGAAAGAACTGGAAGTGGCAGAAATGAAGATGTTGAGATTCTCCTTAGGAGTGACAAGGATGGATAAGATTATGAACGAGATCATCAGAGGTACAGCACAGGTTGAACAACTGAGAGATAAAGTTAGAGACTGAGAGGGTTTGGACATGTCCAGAGGAGGGACAGTGGGTATACTGGTAGAAAGATGTTAGAAATGCAGCTGCCAGGAAAAAGCCAAAGGGGAGATATATGGATGCAGTTAGAGAGGACGTGGAGGTAGTTGGAGTGAGGACAGACTGAGTTGGAGGAGGATGACTCGCTGTACTGAACCCTGAAGAGGAAACAGCCAAAAGAAAAGTTTTTTTTTTCTCAAAAAAAAAGGTACAAGTTATTAATTTCAACATTTGATACGTTTCATATGTTCCATTGTGACTAAAAAGTGTGTTCATGAGATTTACAAATCGTTTCATTCAGTTTTTATTGAAATTTTACACATCATCCCAAACTTTTTTTTTTGGAATTGGGGTTGTATATTTTCTTCACTTTCAACTGTTCGCAGCATAATTCTGTCTACCGTCTCAGTGCTAACGTTTGTTCTTCTGCTTAAAGCTGAGTTTGTCTTCTTGGACCTGACGTCCCTGACATCGGTGAGGCAGTTTGTGCAGACGTTCAGAGACAGACGTCTGCCTCTCCATGTTCTGATTAACAACGGTAGGGTGTCCACGTTTGTCCATATCCTTTCAAAACACGTCCTCTTTACATTCTGAGCTAGATTTTTATTCCAGGATGAGGATTGTCTTCACCAAAACCAGGTAGCTTTGGTGGTTTTGGTCTTTGTTTTAAAAGAAAAGCGCTCAAAATAGATTCTGTGGAAAGCTTATGAGAAATTATTACTTTAGCTTTTGAAGAAAATAGGAATGGGCAGTTTTAGCAAAACCACTTCATATTAAAAGCCCCGATTTCTTTACCCCAGCCATCATTCTACATATAAGACCAACATGTAGCATTTCTTGCTTTTCACAAAGTGTTACTTATTTAATCATTCACTCATGCAGGACTAACTAATAGAAGACAAGTGTCAGCACGAAAACTTTTTTTTAATCCGAAAAAGCATAAGAACAAAGCTCAGTTGATGCCTTTATAATTTAGCACCATACCCTGTTTCTTGTTTTTGCCTAAAAATGATTGTGTCCACACAGTTTGCACTTGTGGTGAGTTAAAGGTTTCTTCCGTCAAGTCCTGCAGCTGAAAAACTCAAACGGAGGCTTCAGGTACAAAGACATACTGCTGTTAATCCTGCTAGTTGAGGATATTTATAATCCTTCATTTTCACTGATACAATGAGTCAAATTTGAAGTATATGCCCATATTCTGGAAAGGAAAAAAAAAATAGCTAAGCTCACTCATAACCATAGTTTCCACGTTATTTTTCTTTCAAAATAAAATACACCAAAAACAGACACTGTGTCTGTTTGAGTTTTACATTATTTTGGAATGGAGTGAATGGTAATTATTGTACCAACTTGGTGCGTAGCTACCATGTGTTGGTATTAAAAGAAAACAAGACGGCTGCATTCATTTTTTTGAATTCTAATAATAGACTTTGAATATTCAAAAATCACTACCCATCCTTAGTAGGTAGCTCCGTTTAATAAAGTTTAGTTCATTTTTAGAAATGCTCTTTTCTAAACTTTTGCTCTTATACCAACTTTGAAGTACACTGGTATGCAGGGCTTAATTTGTAAATCGATCAGTGCCGGAACGCAAATAGCGGACGGGACGGCAGGTTCCTCCCCCAGAAAATTTTGAATAAAGTAGATATGATTTCCTGCGTTTTGGTGTATTTTAACAGGTTGTCAAACATCTACGTTTACCTACATTTGTAAACACTCCGCTTCCGTCAAGCATCCTCCCCCCACTCCCCTTCACTTGATGGAACCATCAAGTAAGTCCAAACCTGGAACCAAGCCTGACTCTGTCCTTGCTCGTTGTTGTCTGACTTGAGGCGTCTACCTGCGGCTGTGAGCTCCTGCCCGCATACGACTGCCTAGTTAGCTCAGCACTCTCCCCCACCACTCTTTTAGGGACGGAGATTTTTTTATGGGTAGACGCGGAAATGCTACTTGAACGGACTACTCGTATGCTCGTCTGTGGCTGTTGTGTTTAAAATGAGTGTTTACGTAATTATTTTCAGTTTACATATCCCAATACAGGTTTTATTCGTTCAAGGCAGACATATTTGTTCATGATGTTCATAACTTTATTATTAGTAATCTTGAGAGTTACTGGATCCAAGCAAACAGTTACCGGAGCGCACCCTGTCAAAATAAGAGAGTTCCCAGATTCTGTTCTGGCAGGATCCAGCTCAAATTAAGCACTGAAGGTATGCCAACATAAATATATTTCTGCAGGAAGTACCATGTTTCGCTGCTTTTTTTTTAAATTACAAAGCACATTTAAAACAAAATGAGTTGTTTATATTCAAACCAGATAACAATACAACTAAATAATGAATAAAATCAAGAAAAATAAGAATAAACAGACAATAATTTTATTTATAAAATATACATTTGGGCTTGTTATATGGTGGCACAGTTGGTAGAGCTGTTGCCTCTCAGCGACAATGTTGCCGGTTCAAATCCCGGCCTGGCACCTTTCTGGGTGGAGATTGCGTGTTCTCTCCGTGCATGCGTGGGTTTTCTCTGGGTACTCCGGTTTCCTCTCGCAGACCAAAAACAAATACTTGGGTTATTTGTAGGAGCAGAGAGCTTTGGGTATCTGTAGCTCGTTTGGATGGAATTTCATATTTCTTCCATTAAGTATACTTGACACAACAATTGACTCTTTGGTGTAGACCCAGTTCTTACTAGGCTTTAGCTTATCTGTCCAGTCAAAGTGCTATCTACAATGGTAACTATTCAAAACCTTTCCACAGAACCCCAACTCAGAACATCTGCTCTAATGCCTTCAAAACAGAAAAAACCCAGAGGTTCTGCATGTTTAACTGAACCCTAAAACAGTTGTTTACATTTATTGCCTCATTCAGAGAGGATAGAAAGATGGCACTGAGCCTCCCCTCCTGCTTGTGGTCTTTTTCACGCAGCCGGAACGATGCTGGTTTCTGAGAGAAAAACAGAAGATGGCTTCGAGTTCCACTTCTGCCTCAACTACCTCGGTCACTTCTTGTTGACCAACCTGCTGCTTGAAGTGCTGAAGAAGTCAGGAAGTCAGAGCTGCTGCACCAGAATCATCAATATGTCCTCTGCTACACATTACGCAGGAGTTATGGACATGGAGGACTTAAACAAAAGGTATGAGTCTTAATGAAACGAACACAACACCAGTAACAAGAATCATCTCAGAGATTCAGAGAGGTGTGTCATTCGCATCTCATGTGGTACATGTGGTGGAATGAGATTATGTACACAGGGTCCCAGTTACATCCAACAATAAAATGTATAAGAAAAACAGTAATAAGATCTAAGACATGAATTAAGAAAAACATCTACTAAATAATACACTAAGCACTAATGGCATAAAAACATTATGTCCAACAGCAGCACGAACATGAGTCTGTGTGAGCAGATGAGCACTCATGAACACATCAACATGAAACAGATCAGCAGCAACATGAAACAGATCAGCAGCAACATGATGTGATTCCTCACAGTGATTATTCTGGTTAGAGATCCATGAGTCTAACAGCCTCAGGGTAGAAGCTGTTCCTCAGTCTAGTGGTTCTACACTTAATGCTCCTTAACCTCCTTCCTGAGGGGAGTGGGACAAAAAGTGTGTGTGCTGGGTGAGTGGGGTCCTTCATGATGCAGGTGGCCCTCTTCCTGCATCTGGAGGTGTAGATGTCTGTGACGGTGGGGAGACTGACTCCAACAGACTTCTGTGCAGCCTTCACCACTCTCTGCAAAGCTTTTCTTTC